AGATTTTTTATATTTAAAATGAGATGTTTATCCTGTATTTGATTGTGTTTATCTGCAGTTAGTTACACGAATTCAGATATGGGATGAAATCGGATAGGAAYGAACGGGTTTAAGAGTTTTTAAGAATTTAAGAGTTTTAAGAGTTTAAAAGTTTTAAGAGTTTTTAATAGTTTTAGCCAAATGTTTTATAATATAGTATAGATATATATATATATATGATTGAGTTCCGATGAAGAGAGTTGTGAGAAGCATAATAAGGAATCTCCACCATTTGATATATATTAGGATGAGATGCGTCGAAACGCACATGATCAATCTTCATATCAAGTACGATTCATTAAAGGTGATTAAGGGTCCAGATCCCTTCTTATGCTTCTCACCATAGTTTTACTTCTCATACGATTCTTCGCATATATATATATATATATATATATATATATATATATATATAGAGAGAGAGAGAGAGAGAGAGAGAGAGAAAGATAAACAACGATAATCACCTGTAATTTTGCACAAGATGGTGGAGGAAGAACGCAACCTCTACCCTAGCTAGTTCGGACCCCGGACAACATCTTGATCCTCCACCAAACGGAGTAAATTTCTTTCCCGTTTGATCTTGCCTCTGCGTCTACATTCAAGTTATATATATATATATAAACATATTGATATTAGAAATTAAAGGAAATAAAATGAATTAATATACAGATAGGGTTATTAATTACCTCCCATCTCCAAGGATGAAACTCTAGGGGACTTGAATGGATTGATGGGTCCAAATGAACTGTACTTAGAACTGGTAGGACCTTCCAACCTGCTGGTATCAAATAATCTGCCCATACAAATACATATATTATTTCTCCTTTTCATAACATACATACATATACATACATATATATATATATATATATATATCGAAAGACCCACAAAATTATGAGTAATAATACGTATAACATATAAAAATATATAGGGGCTCATGCATGCATGAATCATTATTATGGAAGAATCTTTTTTGACTTTCAAGGTTATAATTTAATTGGATATTGATTAATTTATGTAATTCATATTTCATAGTAAAATCGTATATGAATTACTTTGACTAAGTTTTAACAAAATGTAAAAATAATTAAATTAATAATTAATTACCTTTGAATTTGATATCTGTGAGGGCCTTCCTATGCACAAACTTGACAACGTTGCCATATCTAAGAGCTTCATTCATGACCTAATTGACAAAAGTAAAGTACTATGTTATAGACATCATCATTAAATTAATATTAATATTAATACCCTCAAATTAAAAGAAAATCAATCATATTATATATATATATATGAAAAATCAAAGGTTTCTGCATGTGGATCATGTTTTTTTCCAAAAAAAAACATATTAATGGAAAAGTTGATGATTATGATTATTTTTATAAAAAAAATGTTTAATTTTTTAATTTTTGAAATATAAATAGAATTAAAAGTATATTATTAAAAAATTAAATAAAATTAATAATAAATAGAAATAGAAATACATTTTGGGTGAATCCCATCATTTTGTAGTCTTCCCAATTCAAAGCTTCGTCTTTCTTCTTCTTGCTCCTGATGTTTTCATGCTCAACCTATGATTAACACATAATGACACACATAATTAATATAATTAAAAACAACCTTTTTTTATGTTTGACTTTCGTAAGTCAATGAAACTACTTTTTGACTTCAAAATCGACATGGATTTTTCCATTTTCAGATAAAAATAATTATGCATCATTGATCACACAAACATAACCAAAGATTTCAAGTTCAACATCTTCAGTTTTGGTAAACCAAGTCCATATCAACTCTGAGTTTAACAACTCTTAGCATTGACTTTCAAAAGTCAAACAACAAAAAACTGTTAAATATATAATGAATGCATCCCAATATATATATATATATATATATATTTATATGTGTGTGTGTGTGAGTATATATATATATATATATATATATGTATAGATATTATAGAGATACCTTCAATTGCTTAAGTGCAGATGGGGATTTGGCAAGAAAATGAACCAGCATGGCCATTAAAATAGAAGTAGTTTCATAGCCACCAAGAAGAGCATCAAGAACAAAGCTAACTTTTTCATCTTCAGATAAGGTATCAACACCCAGGAGTATCTCCAAGAAATCACTACCCCTTTTTTGATCTTCATTTTTATTATTAAAAATATTATTATTATTATTATTATTATTATTTCTTCTTCTCTCCTTTATAATTTGCTTGACACTTGATGATATTCTGATTCTAGCCTGTAAAGTTGACACCAACACAAAGTTCATCATCACATGTACATGCCTCTTCATCCTTTTACAAAACCAAGATGATGATGATAATGATGTAAACAGTAATAATTATGTTCTCTAAAATCATATTTTTTTCATATGTATGTTTATTCAGATGCATATATATCCACCCAAAATCATATTTTTTGGTAATTAAGTTTAAATATTTAGTTTTTCTGTTGAAAAACCCAATGATCATCATATGTAATAAGCAGGATTATGTTGCAAAAGAGAGCTGAATTGGTGAAGTACATACCTTAACTGCATTTGCATATGGAGTTCCAGGGATGTACAGAGGAAAAGAAATTAAACCTCTCATAAAAGTGCGAAAATCTTCAAGAATTCTTGCAGTCTGTGGCTCTTCTGGTGTTAACCCTAGCACTTGCTTTACTATTACATTGAATGTAAACTGTAAAAAAAAAAAAAAAAGGGTTTTAATTAATTAAAATATATAATTTTGATTATAAATATTAAAAGAAACAGAAACAGAAACCATATGGTAATTACCTTTCTAGCTTCTTGACAGAAGATGACTTGTTGCTTATCCTTCCAAGAATCCAAAATCTGGAGGGTGGTTTTTTCAATGTAGGAGAGGAAATCAGGTTTAGATTTGGTGGTAGAGACGAGTGAGAGGGCCACATTTCTAAGCCGCTTGTGGGTGTCACCCACAACAGCAAGCATCGATATCTTGCCAAGAACACCATGGATGGGCTTCGGATAGCTACATTCAAACAGTTTGTCTTCATTTTGTAGTATGAAGTAGTTGAGTTCTTGATCACATGAAACGATTGTGGGTGAGAAGAATAAATGGGATTTGAACACTTTCCCATACCTGAAAAAACAAAATATGGGGGTTTCAAACATATTTTCTTGCTATAAATGTGTGTTTCTCATGTATCACTTTCATGAACATGGAATTCTATATGTACAATCAAGAATCTTTCTTTTTATAGCAAGTTTAGAAATTGATTTGGAAAGATTATGAAATTAGCTTTACCTAGAACAATGGTCTTGAAGAAAAGAGCCAATGGTGTTGGAAGGATGAGGGTTAAGAAAAGCTAGGGTTTCACCAAGAAGAGGCATGTATCCAAAAGAGCCTCTAGGAAGACACCCATTTTTCTTATCTTTCAAGAACAACAAAGGCAAGAAATGGTTCAAGATTAACCCAAACACAAACCCCACAAAACCAACCAAGATTGCCATCCAAAACACACCCATTTTGATGATGAGACCAAGGATTCAATTTACAACTTGATCAAATTAAATGGGTTTGATTCTCTTTTGGATTCTTGATAGATGTGTGTATGTGTGTATATATATATATATATATATAGAGAGAGAGAGAGAGAGAGAGAGGAATACACACACAGTGAGAGGGGTGTGTGTGTGTGTTTTTGTAGGGTTTAGCAAGACTAGGAAGAACTAAAAGCTAAAAGGAGCAGGCTTTTTTTGGGTACAGTCGGTGAAAATTTGACTTTAATCAGAGGCATAGGAAAAGAAACAAACATAGCTAAGCAAGCAGCCTAGCTAAAGGATCTAGACAAAACTCTAGGGGTCAATTTTGACATTTTCATAAACTAATGTCCTTCTCATTAACATTTTACATTCTCACGCTTTATATCTATAATTCCCCCTTACATAAAACAATATTTTATATTTCAAAATTAAATAAAAAAATTACTTTTTAAAAGTGACAATTTTAGTATATTTGACCAAAAGTCAGCAACAGATTTGAATGGATTTTATAAAGGTTTTCAAAATTAATGCTGTTGTCATCAACAATTACTTCATATTAATCCCAATGGCAATCTTATGCCTCTAACTAACACTCAATTTATTATAACATTGTTAGTATCAGGTCTCAAAGAGGACCTGATGCAAATGCTGACAAATAATAAGGGTTAGACTTAACATCTAGTGAGTTCAAATAATTTATATCTTTAATATAAAATAATACAATTGAAAGACTGCTTATTTAAAATATAATTTCTCAAATTAAATGTATTTATCATAAAAGCAACATCTTTCCAAAACTCAATATTTTTGGTGATAAAAACTCTAAATCAAAATAGTCATTCATTATGAACTCAAAACCCAAATACTTATGCCAAAACGTAAATAAGGTTTAATGTTCAAATATTATAAAAATGGATAACAACTCCATCAACCAAAAAACTCAAAACACGGATAAAGTTCAATACCGAAAATAATAAAGCATGGAAAACACTCTAACCTAGAAACAACACTGAAAAAACATGGATAATACACTGTCCAAAAATAAAACCTTTCGGTGAGGGGGGAGACCCAGTTTCGTTGAATGTGACGGAACACAAAAGTAAGTCAGATATCTATGGACATCACTTACGGCTTACACATTCATTAACATCAACATTTATGGGTCTATAGTTTAATGAGAAAACATGGCTCAAAGTTATATAGTCTTTTACTTGTGGATTCACCAAGTTTAGACTACTAAATGAAAGACTTTTGTCTGGGAAATCTGGCGTTAAAAGGTGATTCGTCACAAAACCGTCACAAAAATTGGTGGGTAAATTGTTTGAGGGTAATTCAACTCAGTGACACCCTCCTCAGGGATTCTTTAGGTGATCTATTGGTATTTTCTCGAAAAAACTATGAATTCTACCGAACCATTGGTATTTTCTAGGTGATCCATCGGCAATCACTGACATAAATTTTCTTGGGTGATTTTTGTGGGTAGAGGTCATTTGTTTTGTAGTGTCAACCATACCAGGTCTTTACCTCGAGATCTCCAAAATTCTAGTTAGCCTCGTTCACAAGAAATTACATAGGTCAATGGTCGATGTCTGATTCAAAGAGTACACACCATATTGCCTACGAAGATCCCAAACATATTTTATGTTACATTACGGGAATATTCATCCCACTCAAACAAACTCCCTATGTCTATGAATTCATTGAACTAAAATCTAAATTAACTGACTCAAATTGAATGATTAACGCACTCACAACATATAATTCCAAATAAATATCCCATAATTGCATATAACTCCCAAAGTTCGAGATAGAGCAAATTAAATCGGACAAATATCTCCAAAAATCATCTGAGTCAAAAGTTCAACAACTCAATTGACTATTATATAAAAGTTGTGATAAGCAATAAAAACATATTCAACCAAGGTTTATGCAAGCATATGCTCTAAATGTATGATTAACTCAAAAACTCATCATTGGTTGGGACAAACCATTTACCAATTGAAATCACGCCATTTATATTTTCAAAATGTCTCATAACATAATAATATGCAACCACAAAGGTGGTGCTTGATTGATTTAAGTTTGAGCTCCAAAGGTCAAAAGTGTCCGAAAGTCTCATATTCGAATCCAAGAAGGAATAAAAAAAATCATCTTGTGGTCATGTAAGTTCAAATGCGGTGACTCCGGCCTACCCACAAAGCGAGTGGTTGCCTTAGAATTAATAGGCTCGCATAGCAGGTTGGATATATATATATCCAGGTTAATTAAAATAATAATAATAATAATAATAATAATAATAATAAATTTCCAAACCAAATACACTAAAATACATTATCACCAAACGATCTCCATTTATAAGATACATCATAAAAAAAACCCAGACTTATAATCTTATTTATCAAAATGTCAAAAAAAAACCCCAACTACAAGTATCTTACGAGATTTATAAAATTGAATATCCTAAATATGCAAAACTCACCAAATAACCCATACATTTGATAAATATCAAATAAATGACATTAATACTTCAAAATGAACATTTTTGACATGTACAAAGTTTTTCACAAAACACCTCAAATTCACCTTGCTAGATTTAGGCTAAAATTTAGGTTTTACCCTAAATTTTGAGCTTCCTTTGATGAAGACATTAGATCCCTGAGCTAAACTTCTTGATCTATGATACAAATCTTTTGAAGAACACATCCTAGGTTAAGAAATGATTGGGTTACAGGGACCCATCATTTTTAGTTTTTTTTAGTGGTTGGGTTGAAAATATACGTATATGCATCCATTTAATATCAAAACAGTGTTAAACCATGTATTAGAAATATAAAAATAAATACTGATGTTAATATATATGAATGATAATAATAAACAGACACACATTTAATAATATATAAAGATGTATTTAGCGCAAGCCCTAAAAAATGTCTAGTTACAGTATAATGAGTTGTTTGTTTACCTCTTAATAGTTTCATTAAGAGACAACATCTAAATTATTAAGAGGTGAATCTTGTTTGGCAAAAAAACAGTCTGCCTCTTAATGGTTCTAAAACCCTCTGAATGATTTTGTATCATAAGTCTCCCTTACCAAACAATTATATTTCATTTTGCATTATATCATAAACGTCTCTTAATCATTCTGAACACTTAATCATTTTACACCAAACCGTTCAGCATTACCAAACAATCCTTAAGATACGTTTTATATGAACAATATCTATGATTAGAAGATAAAAAAAGATATCAATAATATGATATAAAATACTATTTTAGTTTCAAAAAACAAATACAAATATAACCGCAATGGGTGAGTGGTCCACTCTATAGTGTTTAGAGGAATAATCCATGTGCTATTCACGTGCATAGGCGGCAATTGTCCTCTCCACAATTGTAAAGGGACTCAAAGTCAACATTTCAGAACTTGAGGGGTCTAAATATAAATTATAGCATTCATCGTGCTATTCTTTTAATCTTAATAGATTTTCGGGCAGGTTAAATGTGTTTCTATATCTTATTAAATACACTTTTATCTATGAATTTATTTATAAATATTTGATATAAAAACTTTTAAAAATTATTTTTTATGTATCAAGTACTGTTTATTGATACATATTACTTAAAATTCAAGATTACAAGTAATTATACATAAATGTAACTTATTAAAGCTTTATTTTAAATTAATATAACTAACTGCAGATAATCATAATCAAATATAAGATGAACATAAATATAAAAAATCTAAAATATAACTAAGATAATCATTGAGTTTTAACATAA